ATATCGCGTAAACCAGGTGCTGCAAGTAACAAATCAAAACTGGCAACTGACACTAAAATTACATTTCCTTTAATCTGTTTTCCCACCACGCAGCACTAGGTAAAACTTTCAGGCGCTAAATCTTTATATCTTTATATATATATATATAAAGAATACAAATCATATGGCGAATAACAACCCTTTCAAGCGTACTGGATCCACCAAGGGATCACGTGTGTCAGGGATTAATTAATAAATAGATGCAATAAACTGACGACGAACAGTACGAAACTAAAAACTAACTAGCCTAAGCGCTTTCGACTCTTAATGAGTCTTTTTCAAAGGCAAATACAAAACATAGTTACGACAAACAAATAAACACAAAAACGTTCTCTTTGTAAACCTCTACATGGCTGTCTTCACGTGTGCTAAAACTATAAATACAACCAGCTTGTATAGACTAGTTGCGGAAACTGAAAACGTTGTATAATTCCCTAAAAGTCTACAAGCCAAAGGGACGTCTATTTTTACTTTGTGTACATATGTAAGGCAGATTATATCCCGGATATTTGATTCTATACCGGTTATTCTTATAGTAAAAATTGAAGGATAATAAGACTTAGAAAATGTTAAATTCTACTAGTGCATAGTTTTCATTTTCTAGTCTTCTTGGTTTAGACCGCTTGGTTTCAATGTTCTAAGGCGGCGTATCCAGTATGATTCCTTTTCCTTCCTGGTTTCGGAACTCCAGCTGTGGTTGTTAGCAATAGCGATAAGTATTATATCACTGAAAGTGTGGCCAGGGGAGGAGAAGTGTTCTGCGACCGGGCTTCTGTACAGCATTTTTGTCATCCAATCAGATCTATGAAGGTTTATCCTTTTGTGTAGCTTTTCAGTTTCTCCGACGAACTGAAGGCCACAGATCTTACATGTGATGAGATAAATCACATTCTCTGTTTTGCAGACTAGAAAATGAAAACTATGTACTAGTCGAATTTAACATTTTCTAAATCTTATTATCCTTCAATTTTTACAATAAGAATAACCGGTATAGAATCAAATATCCGGGATATAATCTGCGTTACTTATGTACACAAAGTAAAAATAGATGTCGCTTTGGCTTGTAGACTTTTAGGGAATTATACAACGTTTTCAGTTTCCGCAACTAGTCTATACAAGCTGGTTGTATTTATAGTTTTAGCACACGTGAAGACAGCCATGTAGAGGTTTACAAAGAGAACGTTTTTGTGTTTATTTGTTTGTCGTAACTATGTTTTGTATTTGCCTTTGAAAAAGACTCATTAAGAGTCGAAAGCGCTTAGGCTAGTTAGTTTTTAGTTTCGTACTGTTCGTCGTCAGTTTATTGCATCTATATATATATATATATATATATATATATATATATATATATATATATATATATATATATATATATATATATATATATATATATGTGTATGTATGTATGTATGTATGTATGTATGTATGTATGTGTGTGTGTGTGTGTGTGTCTGTTTTTGAAGCTAGAAACTCTCTTAACATATTGAATGTGATCCATATCTACTAATTCTTAAACCATTCAGTTTAGTAGACAAATATTCCAGTCGTTGTATCGAGGGGGGGGATTACTGTGTCTTCTAGATCTCATAAAACATGATCACATCGGTTCTAACTGAATTATACAAGTTCAACTTTGAGTGTAATGAGACCTGGTGGAAAATAGAAATTGTCGACCGACTCAATAACTGAAGAAAAAAAAACAAACAAGATGGACTTCACTAATCTGTGTGGATGTCATTACGTCTCTAGCAAGATGCACCGACAACAAATACGCATTTGTTAGGTCAAGATGTCTGCTATACAAAACATTGTGACAAATCACGCTGTCCGTGTTAGACAGCTGCTGCTCCTCAAGAGTGTCCGTTATGAGCGGGTATCCGCTATTTGGATGTGTCTGCTGGGGCAGGTTACAATGTACAGTCAAGCTAATGATAAATCGGAAACAATGTCTTATTTGAAGAATAAAAACACGGACAAAGACCCCCTTTGTATCCTATGTCACCCGAATTAACAAATTGTTTCTGTTCTGAAAATAGTAAATATATGTTTTTCTTTATACAAATTTGAGCATAAAAACATTGGAAGTGAGAGAGTTGCGATACAAAGCCTTCATGATTTTTGTGAGTTTTCTAATGGTTATAATTTCCAAGCTACATAGTTAGACGAGATTACAGGATAACATCCATGAAGAACGTGTCCCTTTATTCACATATATTTGACAAAAAGATGTTGAAAGCAGAAATTTACTCTCGATAAGATAAGACTAAGTCCTTTATCATTTTGATTATATGATTCACCCATGAGATAATAACAATCAGAAGAAAATTGTTCTCTTCCTACAGGGAAAGCGGTTTGAGATTTTAAAAGTTTAAATTGTCTCATATATTATTTTATTGTCCTGTTTCTATGTTTCATTTTATAAACTGATTTATATTCTGTTAGAGTTTAGAGTAGTTTTGTTTTTTTACGGCTCATCACCGTATGCATATTATGCCGTGCCGAGGTAATGAGTGAAAACTATCTTGCCCAAGACAGCATATTCTGGCATGTCTGGGCTTGCATAGAGTCCGTGACCATATAATTAAAGAGTGAAACAAGTCAAAAACTGCACACGACACTACCGAGAGAAGGAGGGAGGGGTTAACGGAGAGGCAATGACATTTTATTATACAATATTATAATATCCTTTGTATCTCTCTCTCTCTCTCTCTCTCTCTCTCTCTCTCTCTCTCTCTCTCTCTCTCTCTCTCTCTCTCTCTCTCTCTCTCTCTCCGACGTCCTCAGTTGGAAAAATGGTAAAATCTTGCTTCTACCAACTATTTTAGCCTAGAATAATGAAACTTAAATCATGTTTTGTAGGAAGGTCTCCGTTTACACACTTGGTATTTGTTCGCGATTTTGGATTGTATATTTTTTCCAATGCTGGCGATACACACGCCCGAAGCCATGTCCTCAATTGCACGACGGAAAACTTGAAGAGAGATCTCCGTTATCAAATTACACGTTGCGAAACCGTAATTTATCCCTTTAGATCCAAGTGTCAAATACCAACTACTTAGCTAAGCCTCTACATATAACAGTCCCAGGTATTTTTTATTAATATTTCATGCATGTAAGACAATAGTGTTGGGAAACTCGCGATACATTTATACACTACACGTCCAATGCAGGCAAATAAATTTTTGACATGTACGAACGAAGTACATTAAAATGCAATTGGAAATAAGGGTGAATTCATTGTAGAGTTGAACCAAAATTGCCAAATTATCCGAACTATCTGTAAAGTTAAAATATCCTGTTTGCGGCAAGGTTTTACACACGTAAAGATATTGAAAAGACGTCCTTGAAAAGCAAAATTTATTTTATGATTATGAAATGAGCTAAATCCGCCGCTATTTCATAATTTGCCTACTTAGTATTCAAACAGGTGATAACATATATGAATCAAGTGAAAAATCCCCTTAAAGTGAGACCAAATTATCACGAACCGAATTTAGAAGTTACTCGCCCAGAACGTCAGTAAATATATAGAAAGATATATATATTATATAGAGGTCAAACATTTATCAGCAAGATGATCAGTCCCAAAATGAAACAATTACAGCAATATGTGTTTCATTCTCACGTTCTTAGGACCTGTAGCTACACGTATAAGCAACCATAAAGTGTTGAACGCATTAAATGTTTTTAAATGTATACACTTGCTTCAGCTGGTGATTTGATGACTTTGATTAACATGAATTGTGTTTCTATCCATAGTTCTGTTGTAAACGAAGACTTATTAAAACAACACAAAAAAATGTAAAGACAAGGCATCAATCTAGATTGTTTTCCAAAATTTAAAGAGGTTTTTAAAAATAGCCAAAACGCGCAAGATGTTCTACTGGACCAACTTGTATTTATAACTTAAAAAAATATTTATTTGGAGCAAAATTAGACTGTAATATTCCTTCTCATTTCATCCTCTTTTTTGGCATGAATTACAAAGAAGGCGACACGGAATAAAACTGTTTAAAACTTCCAATCAGCGATACAAAACACCTTTGCAAGGTACCTTCTTGCTCATTCATAGCACAAAAGGAATAAAACAACAAAAGCTGTATTTAAATAGGAATTATAAAATTATTCCCAACCACTTACTATATGCATACATGTACTCTCATAAAACAGTTTGAACTCTGTTTTAGTATATGATTATTCTTTGTGTTGAGGTTGATAAAAAAAAACTATTAGAGATTACAACAGACATAATGTCGTATGCATGATAGATTTATTCAGCCATAGTGACTTGAAAAATACAAAGTATCCGTGAAATACACAATATGATTAACACAAACATTCTGTCCGATTTTCAATATTAAATGCCAGAGAGAGAGAGAGAGAGAGAGAGAGAGAGAGAGAGAGAGAGAGAGAGAGAGAGAGAGAGAGAGAGAGAGAGATTCGTACGCATATCATGCAACGAAGATATTACTCTATTTTGTCAAAAAGCGAATAGTCATTGCCAATAAGGCGAATTTCCTGCCAAAAATGCTCAAATCCAGCCTAATGGTATGATCTCCAAAGCGTCAGAAGCACGTCATGTCTTACTAAAGTCTAATTGAAGGACAATCAGTCAATCAATAGATCGATCAGTCAGTCAATAACAACAAGATATATATTCAACTAATAACGTAATTGTCCTAAAGAACAGTTTTTAAAAAGAACCTTTACTTTATACTAGCATGTTATTTTGGATTTGATTTTAACGTGGCTCTAACAATCTTCCAGTCAAATCATTACGATGTATGCAGTATGGCAGTTTATAGTGATGTCTAGCACTGGGGCATCATGCGACAAACATGTAGCATGATGTCCAACCCAATCACATTATCCTGACACCAGGCCGTCCAGTCCTAACACTAGCCTTTTAATACTGAGCGCCAAGCAAGGCAGCTGTTATTACCATTTTTATAAGTCTGGTATGGATCGGCCGGGATTCGAACCCGTGACCTGACGCATCCGAAGCCTACCCTCTAACCACTAGGCCACCGGATGTATTATGAAGCATCCGTATCTAGCTGGGTTATTTCATTTCGTTCATTTCCTGTGACAAAGTTAGTCATATAGTTATCGTACACGAGACCACTATCGAAATCTAGACGTGTTTTAATACAGGTCCAGCAAAACTGTTTTTTTTTCTTCAGTATTGTAAGAGTATCCGTTTCCTGTATATTTGTCTAATATAGCAGTGGATTACTTTCCCATAATTAAACTTTTGCTTCTATATTGTTTTTAATAAATTTATTAATTGTAAACATTTCCTGATCTCAATGCAGAATGCTGGTGCCAGCTTGGATTTAAAATCTTTTCAGTTACACTATAGTGGCTTTAGCATATTTTTGGGATTTCGCTAAAAACAAAAGGAAAAACAGTAAGGTGCAAATCGACAAGCTGTATAAAACATTGAGAGCGAGACCTTTCAGAAAATCCATTATTATTATTGCATTATTAACTTCAAGATTTCACAGCCTTTTTATGTATTGCCGGTACACTGATATTGTGAACGCACGATATAGATGGCATTTATTCACTCATGGTCATTACATAATTCTGAACGAAAATCCAACCCAGTTTAGCTCTGTTAGGTATTTTACGACAAAGCAAACGAAGTAGGTTACTTAGTATCCACGATAAAACGCTTAGTTTGGGGACACACTAGTGGTAGCTTTAATTTTATGAAATTGTACTTTGAATTATTAATTTTTATTTATTTTATTTTTAATTATTATTTTCTCAGTTTTCTGACAGCCTAACACTTGTTAGCTGACGCTTATTGACCAGAAATGAATCGGGAAAATGCTTATGCACATTGACCATGCACACTCTCTTTAATTTTTGTTAAAAGAAACCAAATGTTGTATTACCGAAGCATGATAATTAATGGGTGAGATTTATATATACAAAACGAATCAATTTTCAACATCGGTCTTTGTGTAACAAGTAGTACATAAAAATCGTGCTATTTACACTTAGGTGTTGGAGTTGATTTTATGTAAGTCACGTGTAATCTGAATCTTCAGTTTGATTTCTTTGAACTGAAACTTACTACACGAGAATAATTTGAGTCTGGTTTAACGCCTGCGAGGTCTTGGCACTGTAATGACCTTATTTCATGACTAGCTTGCACATGTGCAATAAAACCTACAAATGAAATGTATCGTAAAGTGCAAAAAACGCATGAGGCAAAATTTAGCTTTATTTCTTATACGCATAATGTAGCTTTCTGCCTATCGCAATGTCAACAAAATAAATAAAAACATTTTTTTAAAAAAAAAAACACAAATAACACCTGTTTTTCCAATAATAAAACTAAAGTTTACTTCATTTTTATTCTCTTGACCTACTTTTAATATTAGTATGGAAAGTACAAGCATAGAACCTATCATTCCTAAAAATGAAATATGAATATTGGGCCGGATAATTTATGTATTCTATGTTAATAATTTGCATATTTTTAATTACCCATGAGCGAGAAAAACGGAAACTTTGGTTTTGAAAAGTAATAGTACGAGTTTTCTCATTTGACTCAAGTGTTTGTTTGTTTGAATTTTTTTCTATTCTTCTTGTACAACTCTCAGCTTTAAACATTAGATAAATGGCAGAACAAATTATATAACATTGGCGAGTTTAGCACTGACCCAAGTTTTTCATGCAGATCAATGAGGTATATTACTTGACAACAAAACAGGTCGCGGAAGGGAACGAATAGAACAGTGACGTATTCCACCAGACATTGGCGACCCGGTAAAAATGTATCAGTACGTTTGATTTATCTGCTCATTAGTAAATAGTACTTCCGTGCCCTGCCTTCCATAATTTAGAAAAGCCAGCAATAAAATACCAACTAACTACTACACATCAAGATTAATAACTCAGTCCACAAATATTTGATGACATGTTACGCCTTGTATTGCTTTGAAAAAATATCAGTGTTGTAAAGGAAACAGAAAATGTTTATTAGACACTATCTGTGTCCAGTAAAATGAAAATTGATATCAGCATTAGTTTTTGGAACTAACATATTTTCATTAAACATCCTGAATATTATAATTATACAGTTATTGAAATCTTAAAATTCCATTGGCAGATACTAGTATATTTTATCATACTTAACTTCTCCATAAATCCGCAAACTGCAAACGTAAGATATTTTAAAAAAACTTGCAAATTTATTGATGCAAAATGCTGAAATCTGGTTAAACAAATATTGATCTCGAGCAGCCTCAAACAGTCATGTTTGTGTCTTGACTATTGACGTAGAATGTTTAGTCTTAAAATGACTATCAACGATGGAATGATCGTGATTGAATGACCACAAGAGTAGTATTAGACACATACATGAAACGTTTTTGTAAACCAATGTGCATATTTCTGGTACAAAACATAAGCAAACATACATGAAGCTACTCGCAGCGTTTTCAATACCCATATTGCGAGAATGTACAACTAGAACATGCTGCAATATTTTTAAAATGTGCCCAAAACAAGTGAAGAAACCAATTTGCTCTTTTCATAATAGTTTCTTAAACTTAATATGTGGATTATTACCTTTAAACAAAACATGCCACAGGAGGTGCTACCAGGCTGTTTGGGATGCGGGTGCGTGACAATCTCCCAGTTTGGCCCCAAAGACAAGCTTAATTTAGTGAGGCTATTAGCCACGAAGAACTTAAAATGAAAAAAACAAAAACTTCAAATATCTTTCATTTTCACACTGATGATAAGGAACTACACAACTGGGGATTCATGTAAAATGAACATAAGTTTATGATACAACAGGACATTCTAAATTAGTTGTTAATGCTAATGGTTATGTAGCTATATCATCAAGCATGCTCAGTTTCTCCTAACCAGCAACCATTCAAAATCAACGAAGGCCTCCGAGTGGATTTTTAAGACTCTTAAGCTCACTATTATACCTCAGCCGCTATGACAAAAATAATCTTGGAACAATCTGCAGGCTTAACCTCTACACATCCATCTTCCAGATATTTATATCAAGCAGCTTCCCTTGTTCTCTACATATTCTGTTTCATCAAATGTTGTCCATATTCTGTTTAGGGTATAGTACTCAAGAGCCATTTTTACTGCCTACATTATTACAAAGCAAATTTAATACATGAATTATTGGCTCTCTAAATGGTAATATGGCATTCAACAGTATAACAAAGTGTTCAGTTGCTTAGCAGTTTGAGTTTCAATGAAAGAACTTGTGTAATAGCTGGTTGAATCTACACAAATAACAATTATCTTTGTTCAAAAATGAAATAAACTATAAAAGCTTACTTCCATTCCAAGCGGACAAATGGCCTGTAAGTGATTAATTCACTTCCCCCAAAGGTTTAAGGACAGTTATAATATGATGCTCATTAAAATGCCAGCAAAAAAAATTTTCTAAATTTTTAAATTTTTAAATTTTGTCTGACAATTTTATTAATTGCTTCAATGACATAAAAATCTAACAAGATTATATATATTCATATCCATTCACACGCATATGTAACTTGATTTGTCTACCAAAAGTGTTTTGGTACCAGTGACCTCTCTGATATTACCATAGTAACAAGCAACAAATAGGAATTCAAGAATAATTTCAATATATACTCCTTCAAATGCTTTCGATTGAATATTTTGTGCAAAGAATTATTTTCTTATAAAATTGAGCAAAGGTCTTTCTATTTTTCCTAATGGTGAAGGAACTTTAAGCTTGAATAATTTCATGGATTACACACAGAAAAGGTCAAATAAGTTACATGGCAAAACCTTCTACATACCACTAGTATATATAATATATTTTATGATATAGGCACGATATACACACTAAATTAGGTCAACTACTAAGTCAGGAGCCTTACAACGGTTTTGATGCATCACGATAAATGTTACAGAGATCACCCCGACGATAAAGCAAGATTAGATCGAGTCATGCTGAGGGACTTAAAGGAACTCAGGCCTAAAAAATTCTGAGAACGCGTAGATAGAACATCATTAGCACTAAACATAAGCTCCGTATAAGCATCCAGCAACAATACAACAAGAATTCGGACTCCAGGCATAAAAGTGTCCAAAGAACCGACAATGAAATTTCTGGCTGAAGAACTGCATAAACCCTCAGGCACGAATTTTTTTAACGACGTAGTTATCGGCGTGAACGTAAGCAAGATATGGTCAGCAGCTCTCGTTAATATGAGCGATTAGAGCGAGTACAACGATCAATTATATTATCTTGTCACAGTCATCGATGTCTTAGGTCAATTCTCTCAAAAAGCAATATCGGATGCCCATCGTAGAGGCACTGAATAGCCTCAAAAGTAAACGAAAGCCCAATAAACTCAGCAGATCTTAGTAGTGAATATTATGACATAACCGTCTCAAACCGGCTTAAAAATATAACATCACCTTGTACATCACACTTAATCCCATTTTCATAAACCAAAACAAAAAGGTTGTAGATGCCTTATTTTAGATCCAAATTCAAAGTATTAAATCACGTCAGAGTCAGTTTATTAAAAAAATACCTTCAAGAAAGGATACACTCCTAACTAGAATGAAGATGTCTTTGTCGTTAATACCATTCATAAAACCATTCACATTACCAACACACTCAATTACCATTCAGAAAAACCATTCCCATTATCAACACACTCAATTACCATTCAAAAAGCCATTCCCATTATCAACACACTCAATTACCATTCAAAAAACCATTCCGTTTACCAGCACACTCAATTACCATTAAAAAAAACATTCCGTTTACCAACACACTCCATTACCATTCAAAAAACCATTCCCATTACCAACACACTCAACTACCATTCAAAAAGCCATTCCCATTACCAACACACTCAATTGCCATTCAAAAAACCATTCCCGTTACCTACACACTCAATGATTCTTCAGGAGAACCCAAACAAGATCTTTTAACGAGCAGCAAATACAAACAACGAACAAAAGATGTTCAGAGTTGAAAAAGTGATCTCTACAAAAAGGAAACAA